AATTGCTGGCATCTTTACTTGTTACTAGTGTAATTGTGAGTAGACGTTTGTTTTTGTATTGATAATTAGGGAGTGGAGCAGATGGTGAAGGCTTAGTTTAAAGTAATGTGTCCATTAAAGAAAATCTACTGTATACAGCTGAAGATTCTTCACTCTAACAGAGCTTAGCTCTCCATAGCAAAGCTCATCTTCTCTTCGGCGAAGCCTTCAGCCACTACAGCGTGGTCAGCTGCTTTCAGTGGAAGCTCAAGTCCCTAACAGTGGACTTGTCCGCTTCTAAGTGAACGCGTTATGCTGTCTCCTGGGGCAGAGTATTTGGACGAGCAAGCCCTCGGTGCTTCTGCTGAGCATCCACATCACTGCAGCAGGCGCACGGGCGTTTAGACGTGGAAGGGATTGCTTGAGGAGCGCTTTTTTTGAGCAGGCGGGGTTGTAGAGATAGCTCGGTATTGCAGAGCAGAGTACGGCAGTTTAATTTCTACAGTTAAGACAGGCCCATCAGTCCTGGAGCTGTATTGAAGCCAAGCTTTCCCTGAGATGTAGTGAAAGAGTTTGGGTAGCTCTCCTCACTGCTGCTGCTCCTCCTCCTCCCCCTGCTTGCCCCAGGGATGGAGGGGGTATCTCTCGCCTACAAGATGTGCCCTGGAAGAGTTTGGATTAGGCTCCAGGGCACGCCCTGCTTTCTTGAAAGCTGCAGGTCTCTAACCTGCCAGAGTCCCCTGAAGTGGCCAGCTTGGAGCTGGAGAGGCGAACTCCCAGCAGGATCTTTCCCTGCCGTCCCGCTTCTGCTTGCAGGTCCTGTGGCAGATGGAGGGCCGCGTGTCCATCTCGGAGGGGGGACCTCCGCAATCTGCAGCTTCCCTTGACTCCTGCGAGGAGGAGTCTCCAGGGTGGGCAGAAGTCTGCCCAGCAGAGGCAGAGCCTCGCAGAGAGGGGCGGTGTGTCTGCCTGAGCTTGTGGAAGCGAGCTTGCCTTCCAGATGGCTTACTGAACAGATCCGCTGGTGGTTTGGAGGCACAAGCACCAGATGAAGAGGAAAAGGAGCCAGGCACACAGATAAAGCCTCTAGAGAACATTTGTTCCTGATGAAACCTCTCTAGGTAAACTTATGATCGGGATGAAATAGCATGCCAGTAAAGATATGGAGTCTAGCAGCTCAGGGTGTGTCACTCTCGCCATGAGACACTTCTTACCTGCGCTGGGATATAGTATTGTACAGAACGCCGACGGAAGGAAACGTCTTGAATGCCGCGGAAGCGCAGCGATATCGTTTAAGGGCTAAACCTCGCTGCAGGGGGTTGTCCCGTTGATTTAGAGCCGCCACAGGACATGTGACACGAATTCCATATGACACGACTAATAATATTGTGTTAGATGTAGGAGGCACAGGGAGACATTATGTCCAATAGCTCAGCCTTGCGCTCAAAGCCCTCCGTGACTTGCCAATCACCTCTGCTCCTGACGAGGACAAAAGCGTTACTTCTGATAGCATGCTATTGTCTGCACAATACCTGCCTTATTAATCACCTGCAACATGCCATTATTGCACTTGCTAATGGCACGCAGAACAGGCGCGCTGAAATCCAGCCCGCTGCTGCCGTGTGCACGGCTTGCAGATCCGGGCTTGGGGGCCTGCTGCTGCCTCCAGCGAGGCACCGAGAGGGGACTTGGCGTTCAGCTCTGTTCGTGCTGTAGCAATGGTGTAAGTCGATGGATGTCCTACTTCAGGGCTTCTTCTGACTGGCCTTGACGTGTTTTTCCTTCTGTTTCCTGGCTTTCTCTGAGCCATCAGAGTTCGGCCACCGGCAGAGCAGGGCGTGGGGTTTGCCGCGCTCAGCTCTAGCCACCTCGCAGCTATTCGGCCTCGGGTAATTTTGGTCCCTCTCTGGTTGGCCCATCTGGAGGAGGATGAGCATTTCCAGGGAGAGAGTCACCCCATCTGCCCAAGACGCCTCCCTCGGGGCTGACCGGTGGCCTGCAGACGTTTGTCTCACCTGGGCCCCTCTCTGGCCCACTGCCGTTTCTTTAACGCAGAAGAGCCAGAAGGCCAACCTGGGGGACCGAGGCTGGCGCGGCAGCCTGCGGTGTGAGCCGGGATCACGAGATGTCTCACGTTCCTGTGGACCTTCTGCACGTCCTGCGAGAGCAGGATGAGTGTGCGGGGCCGTCTGTGCGCCGGCTCAGCCCCGTGTGCCGGTGATGGGCGGTGGGGAGGGTCCCACTGCCTGGATGAGCTCGAAGCCCAAAGGAGAGGAGTGTTTGAGCTCTGCAGATGGCTTCCCTGGGGGCAGGAGGGAGTCGGCAGCCAAGACAGGGTGCAGCTAACCTGCCCTCTGGAAATCGGTCAAGATCCCCGGAAAAATTAAATGAAGAGGAAAAGCCTCGTCGGTACTAACGGGTTGTGCGTAAATTGAGCCAGAGAGATAACTGGCTTTTCCTGGCTTATTTTTCTACCAGTTGATTGCGTCGTTTTCTTTCGCTCTTGATTTTTAGCGTATTCTTGGTTGGTGCGGTGAAAAAGGAGCATTGCAGCTTTCCGACGGTCGAACAGCGAAGCGTGTTGTTACAGCGGGAGCAGGCAGGCGAAGAGCGTTCCCGCAGGCAGGCAGGCAGCGCGCCGAGGCAGCTCACGCAGCGTGAGCTTTGCAAGAGCGCGGGCTCTTTGCCCCGTTAATCCCTCCGGGACGGGAAGCGAAGGGCCGCAGCTCACGGGTTTTGCGGGAACCTGCAGCCGCTCAGAGCGGCTGCGTGAGACGGGGGGGGGTGCTCCGGGGGGGAGGGGGGGC